TTTAACAGTTATTTACCTCATTTTAAGATTCCCTGCCTATTTGAGACAAAAAAGACAAGGTTTGCTTGATATAAGATTGTAGTGTAAAGTTGAACACTTAAAATAAGAAATTAACTCTTAAAACAAGACAAATTATCTAACACTTCTAAATCTAAGTTTTTTTGTCTTGGTAAGAACCAAATAATTTGCAGTGTGGTGTCCAAAGCCTGTGGACCAGGCTAGATTTACTCTCTCTGTTATTGAAACCAGGGAAGCATCCCAGACAGACAACTGTGATATGGACGTCTTTAGAGGGAAGCAGGAGGGGAAAGATGAAAAGAAGCAGACAGACATGAAGAGAGGTGAAGCTTTTGTGACGGACTGATTTGCAGTTTGAGCAACAACAGAGACCGAAGAAAAAAAATCTGTTGAGCAAAAGCCAACACAGGACAAAAGAAAATGGAAGGAAAGATTTATGGAGCCCACCCTAACATTTTTCTGACATTAACCAAAACCCTCTCCACTGTTTTTTTTTTTCCTTTTACCAAGGCCTTTTTACCAAGGCCACATGCAGTCATTGCACAGTCACATTTCTGCAGATCACATGCTCTCCAGGATCCACAGTTAAAACAGCGTCTATAGACATCAGTGAAGGAGAAAGAAGCAATGAAGAGTTGAAGAGGAGAAGCAGGAGGAGGAGGAGGACACCGGAAAAGGCTGACCTCAGTTCTGCGTGTTCTGAGTGTTGCCACAGCTGTATCTGGTTCAGCAGAACACAAGTCACATCAAGGGGAAGTTTTGTGGACCGGCAGGGAACAAAGGAGAGGGAAAAAGTTTCTGCTGGGTCAAAAACACTACTACTCAACCTCCTCAAGTAGAGTATAAAATATAAATACTTGATACAATAATTAATAATATTCTTAACAGTGAGCAGTAAGACTGCCAATATACATACACATATAGCCACACACTGGAAGCCCTCAGGTTTCTGTATCTAGTTTGACCAGTCACATTTAAGCCAGCTTTGGTTGCCTGCAGTTTACCAGTCTGCATGGAGAGCAAAACACATTGACGGACATATAGTAGGCAGAGATTAGTCAAAAGGTCTGGATCCAAAACACCTGCGCAAACTGTTTGGGCCTTTTTGGAGAAACTTCCAGCTCGTTGACTTGACGGCTAAACATTGCATAAGGTAAACAGAAGACAGAGTGTAAAAAAAATAGCACCAAAGTATTGGCAATTCATCGTCAGGCATCAGACAATTTAGAGTCCCCAATGAATTTCACTCTAATCTGCATGTCTTTGGAATGTGGAAGGAAGCTGGAGTACCCGACGAAAACTCCCACCGAGGAGAGAACATGGAAACGCCACATAGAGAGGCTGCTGCCAAACGAGGGATTCAAAACAAGAACCTTCTTGTAATAAGGAACAACTAAATCATGCAAACTTCAAACTTTTAAACCTCATTTCCAAAGACCTATTTCAGTCATAAATCAAGAAAGAATGACCTCAGTTTCCAACATTTAATGAAAACAAAGGATCTGATACATGTCCTTACTCTTGGCAAATCTATTTAAAGCCTAGAATAGAATATAGCTTAGCAGCAAAAGCAAAATTCCACTTGTGATAGCAAAAACTAATTGAAATGCCAACGTCTGCTTTCCCCTTTTTCCTGTCTTCCAGTAAAGTGAGAATATGAACTGACAGTGGCCTTTGTGGCTACAAATCTTAAATCCTACGGACTAAAAGTAAAAGCTATTACATACATAATGTGACATTAGCAAGATAAGAATCATGAAGCCAGAAGATATTACTCTCATCAAAGCAACACAGACTGAGTTACAATATTTCATCTTTCAGAAGTTACATAGTGATGCTTTTAAGAATCAATTAACCAAATAAAAACTTTTCATCTAAACCTAATTAAATAGTAAAAATGTTTACTTGTGCTATTTGCCTCAGCGGTTGCACTATAATGAAGGTAAATAGAATTTGCACAAAGCCTTTAAAAATTATATTTCTGATGTGAATACATCTGCATATCAAACTGAACTATATGACCTGACATCTCTGGGGCTGATTAATGATATCCATATTTCATTACTGGACTCGACTGGACCTACCCTTCTGTGAGGGCCCGCGGCTTGAAGTTGATGACAACATGTCCCAGCAGCAGCCCTCTCCTTCCTCCTGAACTAACACCACTCAGCTGATGTGGTCACAGAGCTGACAAAGAACACTGATATCTATCAAAACTCAAATACAAATAATGCCTGAGTGGTACACCTAAGGGGAACTAACATTTCCACATGTGGTTTATGGACCACTGCAAACTCGACCATGACAGTCATGTTACAGGACAATGACATATCTTATGATTTCAGGTGAATACGATTTATGATTAAACCATAGACTGTATATAAAGAGGATTAAACGCCGTTATGTTAATATGGGGAAGTATGTACAACAATCTGCAGCGAATGTAAGCAGAGAATGTTGAACAGTATCATTCCCAAACACAGATAATTGCAAACATGCCTCTTGTAAAGCAATGGTATGATCAAGTGATGTATGATTCTTAAATTAGGTTTTTAAAGATAAATTTGGGGACGGCAGGGACAAGAGCAACCTGTAAAATCTACTGACAGTAATGTATGTTTCAAAATAATAAATATACATTTTATATTAATATCACCTCATATGAAAATAGTGATTTGTGATGTTTTCTTTTTTCATAGAAACATTTGCATTTGCAGCTCTGAACGAGTGGAAGCTAAGTGGTACCACATATGACAAGATGTATTCTATGCAGCAGCAGCTCTGTGAATCTGCTTGGACTTCATACACAATAAAACATTACGATTGCTTCAGCATTTCTTGATGACACAACCACAGCACTTATAATAAAGATGTCAACAAGTTGTCTCTGAGAACGAGCAGATTAAAAGACCACGGGAACGCTAAGCACAGAGGAATAGGAAGCAAAATAAATAAAATTACAACTTTATATCCTATATATGCTATATGCTTACTACATGATGAAGTGCTGCAAAGTTAAAAAGCTCAAAGTCAGAGGTAAAGTGAACTCCTCTCTCCTCACTGAAAACACTGAAGCTTGTGAAACATCTCGTCACTAGCCCATACTTCTGAGGACTCGTGATGTTGTGTGACATCACAACGGCCAACATTTGCTTGACGTACGCATCATTATGGGACGCTGCCTAGCAACAAAATCACGTAAAGCGAGAGCGGAGGCTGTCATTTCTTACACGCAATGGAACAGGTTGACCAATCACAACAGAGTGGGCCAGCTGGCCAATCAGACTAGACTGGGCTTTATCTGGAGGGGGGGTCTTAAAGAGACAGGAGCTAAAACCAAGTTTTTAAAAAGAGGCTGAAAAGATGAACTGCAGCAATGAACAGTATGAGTGAGTGATGTGTTATCGAAGAGCATGTAAACCTTTTCTAATAATTGAAAAAATTGAAATGATGAAACTTAAAATGGCTACTTTGGGAGGTTTTTAAACCTACTGTACAAACCAAAATACTGACTAAGGTTAAAACGTTTAGCACAACCTGATAACGTACCACTTCTTCTAACTGCCCCGTCCTCACCACTCCCTGCCAGTGATACTCTGGTGTGTTTGTCACATCATGGCTGCTGCTTGTATTGTTCCACATCTACAAAGCTCTGGGCTCATCATGTCTCATCAAATTTTGAAGAGAACCAAGTGGAATCTCAGGTGAACTCCCACAACAACAAAAAACAAACCCATTTCAAATGTAATATTAACGGCAGTTTTGTTAAATCACTACTTTCTGTAAATATTTGGGTAATACTCAGTCTCTAATGGCAGCCTGTGCTAAGTAATACAAGAGTGACACCCAAGCCCCAGAAGCACATATTTTACTTTGTATGTACTTGAATTGAATATTACACTGATGGTATGATTGTTCTATTGAGTGCAGTATCTATATCTTAAATCATATTATAATTTATATATGGTTAACACCCAGCAAGTGATGAAGCAATGATTTGTCTTATACTCCACCTTCTCTTCACAGACATGTTTGCACAGGTTATCAGAGACCATCGTTGTTATAAAAGTATTTGTGAGAGCAAGAGAATGTGGGTGTGGGCGTGTGTGTGTGTGTGTGTTTTTTAAGAAGGGAATGGAGATTCTGGAGGAAAATACCTAACCTGATCTTTCACCCGAAGCAAAATAAAAAACAGAGGCTGACAAACATAAAATGATCATGAGCCATCAGCTTGGTCTGATGCCATTAGCAAAACTGCTAGAACCTTGAGGACATCCTCTAATAAATTCATTTATCTAGGGTCTGAGTGATGTGACATGAAAACCTCAGTATTTTGCCAGATGTTTGGAAAATCTAAGTTATCACTTATTTTAAATGGGGGAGCTGAAGTTTGAATGTAGTTGCAGGAATGAAAAATGGATGGGAGACTGGGGATAAATCCAAACATCTGTTGTGGTTGTTGATGTAATCATCATTCAAGTTTTTGACCACTTTTTAAAAATGTTGCACAAACATTAATAAATCTGAGAAAAGCCTCACAAACTGAAAATACTAATGGGGAGGCTTATTACCTTTCTGTAGATGAATAATGTCAGGGAAGTTGGCAAGCAGGCCCTGGTAGAGCGACAGCTTGTCCAGCATTTGGAAGAGGTCATACTTAGGTTGCTCTGCAAACAACTCTCCAATGTTCTCGTAGGTGCGGCCTGTATGGGAGATGGCGTTGTTGAGGGCGTCTGAGCTGTGGGGAGGGTCCAGCATGAAAGCCTGGCTGATGGACTGGAAGGCATTTCCCAGCCGCTGGAACTCCTTTCTGAACCCACCCAGGTGTTTACGTACCAGCTCAGAGGCAACATGTGTGAGCTGCATCACACTGTCGTCCATTTTTTTAGCGAAGGACTTGAAGGTGTCGACCCGCTCCTCTACGTCCTGAAGGTCCTGGTGTTCGTTGGGGATCTGGAGGGTCAGCATGAAATGGGCGCCCACCATCTCGTCCTTCTCTGCCCGTCTCTTTCCAAGTTTCCACTGCTTGTCGTCAGCGCACATTAGAAAGTGCTCAAAGCCTTCATACTGAGAGAGGACTGGGTGACTGGTCATGTGGTTCATCCACAGTACCAGTCGTCTCTTGCGCTTCTCGATGAAGTCTTCCTCAAATCGCCCCGTGGCCTGCTTCTCAGGCAGGTGGGGCACAGAGATCACAGTGAACTTGTGCAGTAAGCGGTTGTACAGCCAGTCAAAGTGTTTGTAACGTCTGTAGACAGGACGCCCTGTGTGGCTCGGCGTGACCCGGTAAGAAATGTAGGTCTTGATGCCCTTGAACTTTGTCTGTTTTGTGGGGTCTTCAATTGAGCAGACGAAAGGCTCTGGGTTTGCCTTCCACAGGGGCCCCAAAGGACCCATGTCGATGGTGTATGACTCAGCTATCTTTGCCATCATGGGTACATCACCCAAAACAAACGCTTCCACCCCTGAGCGGACAAAGCTGGAAAATCGATTCAAGTTCCTGCCCACCATACTGCCTTTCCTGGAGCTGGAGATGCTGTCCTGTCTCTCCATGTGTGGTTTGGACCGGTAGTGCACATTAGGGTTGTTGGACAGTGGGCTCTGATGGGCATGTCCATTGGCCCCAGGGCTCCTTGAGTAGTCTGCATCCTCCACCACTGTGGACCTGTCATCCCAGTCGTCCCAGTCGTCGTCTTCATCGTCATCATATGGCGGCTGCAAATGAGGGGGGGTGATGGGAATCGAGGGGAAATAGGAGGAGTCCTTTCCTAGAGAGCCTGCCGGGCTGATGGAGCAGTCAGTCACATTGGAGTTTGAGCGAGTGCGGATGATTTCCACATAAGACGCTGGGAAGAGACCCTTCTCCCCTCGGCTGTTCTCCCCCTGGAACCAGCCGTCCACTGAGTTCTCATCAAAGATGACCAGCTCCTCGTTCTCCTGGATGCTGATCTCCTCTTTGTTTTCACTTAGGAAGGTGTAGATGGCTTTGGCTTTCACTGACATCTTGATACTCAAGTTGGTCCCAAACCACAAAATTCTACATGCACATAGTGCCTAGATTATACTGATGCTACTGTGTGGATGCATGCTGTGTTGGAAACTTCTGACACCAGCTCTCTGTAATATTGAATCTCGTCTCAAATTACATGGCAGCTGTTGGATCAGGTGTGCAGCGGCACTATGACCTTTATGTAAATTTAATGATCTGAAACTTTAGAAACACCACAGACTAAACAGATATGTAAAACTTAACAACAGTCTGAATTATACCCACTGTGACCACTAGCATCCTCAGCCCATAGAGGCTGTTGCTCTATTGTCCTAAAAAAATCTATTGTGGTTAAATACCCAACAATAAGTTCAGGCTGCAGAGGCTGTACAACACATCGACTCCCTCATAACAGAGACTGGCTTCCTCATCTCATCTCGCATCAGAAACTCAACAGGTTCAGAAACAAAGCTGGTTTCTCCAGTGATCTCCAGGGTAAAGCCCCGCCGGTGGTTTGAAATCCTCCCAAACTGGACTCGGCGTCACGTCGTTCACCGACACTTGCTGCTCGTTAACGGAGCCTAGAAAGGATCCGCGGTGAAAACATCTCCATGACAAAGTGGCCTGGCGTGAGGGGAACCGCAGGGATGAGTAATGGCATCCCTGAGCTCCACATTCTCTCAAACTCGCTGCGTTTTCCTTGTAAACAGGTTCCTGCGCATCCTCTTGCGATCCTCGAAGGTTTCACTGAAAACCAGAGATCAGCAGCCGAGCGATCAGATCCACACGCGGGGACGTTTCTCTGGGTTTATTCCTCAGCGCTGCAACAAAGTAACTCTTTCCATGACGTGAGGCTCAGACAACTGAGGAAAGCAAGTTCGCCTTTTTTTTTTTCATCTGCTCCTTTATAGTCTTCCAACGAGGAGCGAGTGGCTCAGCACCGCCCCCTATGGGAGACACAGGGGAAACCCACAACACCAAGCATCGTCAGGTCGAGAGAATAATAATGTTGGTTATGAAAACAACTATTGTTACAACAACAATAAAAATAATGATTATAATACCATCAGGATCATCGTCATTATACATTATATATTAATAAGTACAATTATAAAGTTCAGGAAAGCACCTTTCAAGAACAAAGTCACAACTGCTTCACACAAAAACAAAAAATGGTGTAATTGTAAACAGAAGAATTATGAGTAGCATCACATAAACCATTATACTGCACCTATAAGGTGTTACACTTCTTGTTCACATATATCCCTTAACACAACATAAGATGATAGAATTCAGCATGAAATATTGTCTTTATACTGTGTTGCCATTTCATGTAAATGCACCTCAGAGTGATTTATGAATCATAAGTAGAGTACATAAGTACAATTTTTAGATACTTGTACTTAATTTTTGTGCTACTTTTTACTTTGACTACACTTCATGGGAAAATACTATATTTTTACTCCACTTTGTTTATTTAAGAGTTCCAGTTAGTCTTCAGACGAACTTTTAACATACGCAGTACACAACAGTACCAGCAGAACAACTACTTTTGATACTTGAATAACTTTGATACTTGAGAGTCATTGTATATCTCTAAAATGCTGATCATATTTGTAAAGGGATCCGTTTACTCTGCACATTTTTAATAAAGTAAAGGATCTGAATACTTATTTAACCAGTTACAACAAGGATACAATAATGTAGTAATGGAACACATACACAGGTTATTCTGCAGAACAAGTATTTGTACTCACTTTTTAATCAGATACTCACAACATTTTGTTGATTATACATATGAACTTTGAAGTCAGTCGTACTATTACCTGACATTCAGTTTTCTTAATGATCTGAATACACATTTTACAACTGTAGATATGCACATGTACAAATACAGAGTGTGACCATGTTACACGTTGAAATCAACAGGTTTCTGTATTAAAACCAGTCCAGTCATACATCACATATATATCAACAGTTTTTTCACAGTGTGTTCAGGAAAAATGCTGAAATATTTGGAGTAGTTTGTTTACAGTGTCGGTGACGCTGCTCTAACTCCGGGATAGTTTCTGCCGCTGGTCGGCCAACTGCTTGTCTCCACTGGTGGGAAACATGTCAGCGTGACGCCGCCGCCGCAGCAGCAGCAGCAGCCTCCTGCATGTCCAAGGTATCTGAGTGTCTCTGGTTTATTCTTTGCTCTCCCACCACAGCAGCTGCACCCTGGTGAAGCTGGGCCTGGTTAGCACGGGTTAGCTGCTGGAAACGAACCTGTAACTCCGCGTTTGTTGACTCCGTGTTATCTCGTCGGCCCACAGTATGCTAGCGGCTTTAGCATCATGCTACTTGCTAATCTAAACTGTAACGCTGGGGTTTTTGAAAGCTCAAGAGTCTCATAAGTGAAAGTACACGTCATGGTATATAGTTTCTGAAGACGCGTGTCGTCTCTCTGTGTTAATAACGTCATGTCAGTGAGGTCATATCGCGTTATTAAACTGAAGCTAGCTCAATGTGCCCAGTCTTTCCTCTGTGTCTGTCTGTCTGTCTGTCTGTCTGTGATTACACCTCCCCGCCACCACAGCTCCTCATTGATATAATGTTCTCATCTTTCAGAGTGTGGGTGAAATAGCTGGAGCATTTCTGTGTCATGCCAAAACCACATGTCCCAGAATACCCTCCTCTGTAGACCATGTGATCGACTGCATGAGTTACAGCTTGATCCACATCATAACCTGACAACTGGGTGTGTGACACATTTAATCAAAAGTGAAACAGTAATCGGGACAATGTGCAAGTTTGGGAACCTCACTCAGTTTTTACAGAAAGCATTTAAAAAGTTAGATATTTTAAAACGGAGTCTTTATACTATAAATACACTGTACCTGCAGATCACTAGAAGTTCTGAGATATTTTCAGGTCTCCGCAAGATCTCTCCAGGTTTCCAGTGATGTTCAAGGTTGTGAGGGATCTTCCAGAAGCTTGTGCTTCTTGAATTATTTTATGGTGGGGTCTGTTGGTTTTTTTTTAAGTCTGCTTTGGAACATTGTCCTGCTGTATAAATCAGCCTCCTCTCAGCCTGTAGTTTTTCCTCCTGTGCCACGCAGCCCGAAAGAAAGTTTCCACCCTCATGCTTGACCGCTAGCAAAGGTGCAGGGTTATCAACCATCTACGTAGGACTCAAACTTTTGTATTTGTCACAATTGGTTTCATTTTTAATAAAAAAATTTCTCCAAATTTCAAGTTCATGAATTAGTCTCGCTCGTTTGTGACTTTATACAAATGTTGTCTGAATGAACCCACAGAATGCAGAACATGACGGCAGCCTACACCTTTGCCTCACAAAATAATGTAATGCAGCACCAGTGCATCATAAATAATATTCTTCTTAGCTGAAAAATGTTCTGACAAGCAAAATCTCCAATCTGCTCCCAAAGATTATCACTAATTATGCTATTCACTATTCTAATTTTCAGCCTTGTATATTGTGAATATTCATGAATTTAAGAACCACATTAGCTAACAATAATAGCACCTTCACATTCTCAGAAAAGGGGCTGGTCAGTCTCAGAGAGAAGGAGGAAAAAAATGTCAAGAAAACCCACTTAAACATTGTTTTGTTCTGATTTACAGAGTCCCCATGGATGACCTGACCAAAGCCCTCTCGGCCAGCTTTGCTGTGTCCAAGGAGCCCAACAGCACAGCCGCCCCACACCCTCGGCTGGCCCAGTACAAGAGCAAGCACAGCGTCCTGGAGCAGAGCGAGCGACGAAGGCGCTTCCTTGACCTGCAGAAAAGGTCTGTGTCTCAACAGTTTACACCTGTAAATTCCACCGCTGATCTTTAAAGGTAAAGAAAGGGTCTGAATGGGCCAATATTTTTCTGGTCATCCCAGTAAAAGGTTAAACTACGTCAACCATGCGCGGCGTCTGGCTGATGGGGACTGGACAGGGGCAGACAGCGATGGGGAGGAGGACATGGAGAAACAGGAGGAGGGGGAACGGGAGATAGACGACAATGCAGAGGAAGATGGGATGGAGATTGAGAGGAGGAAGCTGCCAAAGCATTATGCCAACCAGGTCAGTGTTTGACGTGTTGTGACCCAGATATTACTCTTACTCATGTGTGAGGAACACATTACTCCTGTCTGCTTTTTTTGCATTCCTCATTTTGTCCAGCAGAGGGCACAGTAGTTTGTAGAATAACTGCATGCTCTCTCAGTAGACCTTGTCACAAATCACACTTTTGTTGACTGCTGACCAATTTTTCCATAGATCTTGATGTCTTTAATAAAATTGTTAATGAAGATGAAGCGCTGAGTTTGTTTCCACTTCTTCCTCAGCTCATGCTGTCAGAGTGGCTGGTGGATGTACCATCAGAACTGGACACTGATTGGGTGATGGTGGTTTGTCCTGTAGGGAAAAGATCTCTCATTGTTGCCTCCAAGGTAGGAACCTGTCACTGTTCTTTTAGCTATTTCACACAATCTGTCGTTAGGGTCAGATAGTTCACAGATAGATATACAAGACAGAAGTTAACTATGAGTGAATTTAGCAGGTTTTTTTTAGAAAACAGCAGAGGAGCAGAATCAACTGATCCACACTGCTCACTCAGGCAGTGTAGACACTGTAATCTGAACACGGGCACTTAAATTATTATATTTTTCTTTAAAGTTCAGTAAGTGTGTGATGTTTCCAAAGTCAATATGTAATCACGTTAAATAATCGTAATTACAATATTGACCAAAATCATGATTATGATTTTTGCCATAATCGAGCAGCCCTACAAAAATATAAGGCAAACATGAAAACGGTTTTGGCTTTGGCACTGAGGTGGTGAGGAAACTGAAAAAGGAGAAGAATCAAATGCAAGTTGTGACACACACAGACAACACCAAGTGTATTGAGCCACAGTATGGCGTCATTCAACTGATGCAAACTAGAATTACATCATTAGATTTCTTAAATAGGAACAAAGAAGATCTACAGAAAAGTGCAATCACTTCTCCTTGGTGAAAAGAAATGCACGTGAAATGCATTGTGTCATATTTCTTTCTAATCCATATCAGCAACAGCCATGACGAGAGGCAGAATGTTTTGTGATGGTCCAGATGTATGTCCCTCTGTCCGATTGCCATGAAGCCTCTGGTTTTGGCATAAATGTTCACTTGGACTCAAGGATGAACTGATCAGATTTTAGTGGTAGAAAAAACTGTAAGAAAAACCATATAAGAAACACATTCAGTCTCTATTCTTATCTCATCCTTTTCCTATTTTTCAACCAACAACAGAAACCCTGTGAAACTCGGGGAGGAGCTTTTGTCTCTTCCCTCATGTAACGTCTCTGTTCTTGCCTTTTTCTGAAGGGTTCCACTGCAGCGTACACTAAAAGCGGCTACTGTGTGAACCGTTTTCCCTCCCTGCTGCCTGGTGGGAACCGACACAACTCTGCCATGGGAAAAGGTAGGTGGCCTGGTTGCATCACAAAAGTGACAGGGGTTGCTAAAATATACTGACTCTGTATTTTTAAATCAGTGTCTCCAACAGTAGATTATTCAGTTTATAACAAGATAGCACCATTATCATTAGAAATAGACCAATTCATAGATATGACATGTTGACATTTATATTAGCAGAGGTGTGGATCTTCACTTGTCTCACGATACGATTCAGCAGTCCAAAGAATGAAGTCGTTCTTCTCGGGAAGAAACAAGAGCAGTCGTTCTTTTTGTTTTCAGTAAAATAGTTGATGTAGAGATAACGAGGCATCTCATTTCAATGTATCACATCCACAATCTTCTATACTACTGCACATGGCGGATTGTTCATCAGTTAATAAAATCAGTCAGACAAATATGAACCCTTTTTATTTAGAAAGTACCCTAAAAGAATTATAGACTGTTATTAGAAGTGTGCTGTCGTTTAC